TTTCTGTAGCCAGTTGCATGAGCTTCAGCTGGTGCTCAGGAGGTGACCTTGGACTCCCTACAGCCTGATCCACCTTTACTCTATTCTCACTCTGACTGTGGTTTACCACAACATTTTAAAAAGTTGAAGAGTGCTAAAAGAATCTTTCTTGTCTAGCATCTGTCCTGGCCTTCTAGGGGGAAGCAGGGATTTTTTTCTCGAGGACAGACAGAAAACTTGCACTGGGTCAGACCCCACAAAAATTACAGTCTGCGCTCCAGACTCCCATTATCAATCCAAATACACAGAAGATTATTTCTCCATTATTTCTCTCACTTGCACCCCTGTGACTATTTTCACCTGTGCTAATGCAGACTGCCAACAGTTCAAAACTCTCCAGTAATTCAACAGGAAAGAGTTCAGAGAGCACTCAGAAATCTATGAAATATAACCTATGAGGAAACAGCAAAGGAATTTTTGTTTTCTTAAATACAGAAAAGAGAAGACTGAACAGAGACATGATAACAGTTCTCAAAAATGTAAACGACTCCAACAAAGAGGAAGGAAATAATCTTTTCTCTCCCACGTGGAAAGCATAAGAATAACAGGCTAAAATTGCAGCAGGGACATTTTTTGATTAGATATTAGCAAAACCATTTCTATCTGCTAGGATGGTGTTGCTGAAGCACTGGGATGGGCTGCCTTGGAAATCTCCACATCTGGAATGCTTTGGAAGCAGGCTGGAGCAATGTCTGTGCTAACGGGACAGGTACCACTGACCTTCTGCGCTCTTGGAGCAGGAGAGGGAATTGGTGACTCCTTAAAATCCCTTCTAGCCTTGCTTTTATATAATTTAGTGATTCATTGGATAAGTACATGTTCATTTATCACCTCTGGGAGAATTTTAGAAGTACTACTTGGATCTTTGTGTTCTTTGCCTCCAGAGACTTCCTTAAGATTATTACTTTTCCAAACACCAGGCTGTGCGCTGTGGTTCTCTCCTATAAATGAAGCAGCTAGTTCTGCCAATCAGGAGCTATAATCCTACCATTAATTGAAAGACAATGGGTCAAATGCTCCTAAAGAAATTACAAGAAATGAGCCTTTGGCTACCTAGTCACTTGCCTTCACTTTTGCAGCAGCGTGCACTACCACATTGCTGAGTTTTGCTCTTGGAAGAGAACCACCAGTGAAATATGGGAAATGGGACCTGGGACAAGAAGGGTTAGCAGTGTCAGTCCCTGGCAGTCCCAGGCAGCCATATCAAGTAATCCTTCTGGTAAACTCAGCAAACTGCACCTCCAGTCCGGTTCAGATTCTTGTCCTTGCTGCTGTCACTGGCTGGCTTCTCCAGACCATCAGCACTTAGGCAGCCAAGAACCCTCCTCTGATTTCTAACCTAGCATTTTTTCTTGGCCAGTTTATTAATTAGTTCCTGTGCTCATGCTGCATTTCCATCTCCTGAGTAACATGCTCTGACAAGCTCTGGGTGGTCCTGCTTTGGCAGGGGAGTTGGATTAGATGATCTCTATGGTCCCTTCCAGCTCTAAAAAATTCAGTGAAATTCAGAGTTTTCCAGTTTAGTGGATTTGTAGTTGGCATTAGTATCCCTCTTGGTTGTCATTTTGTAAGGCTAAACAGGTCAAGCTCTTGCCTATAATGGATCAGCAGCACACTTCTTTCCTGATACAGGGAAGAGGTGGTCCAAAATTACAGGGTTGAGAAAGGGTGTCTAAAAAACAAAACCAAACCACTTCTGTAACACAAAGTCAAGGCCGGGTAAGAGTTAAGACGTGAAGTCACCCTGTTATGTGCTCCTGTTACAAGTGTAGTTGTCCTACAGAAACTCTTGCCATCTTGGTTGTGGTTCTCTCCCGAGTACCACCACAAACCCGAGAGCGGTGGGGACGAGCAATTCTCACATCCATCTCCACACAGCATCACCTGACTTTCTGCTACCAGCAATCTCTACTGGGTAGTGCCGAAGCCCAAGAGCTGCAGTTCTTCTTGCCCTGTCCCCTTTGCAGAGGCCGGCCCCGCTGGTGGCACCAGCCCTGCGACGCCGTGGTTACGCATTCAGCAGCAATGCTGCTTGAACCGGCTCGTCCCCACCCTTCTCCACTCCCAGCTGCTTTTTCCATTTCCCGCCGGGCGCCCTCCCTACTGCCAGCATAAGTGTTTGTGCAGTTATGTGCAGAACCAGGTCAGGGGATCTGATTCCAGCCAAAAAAATAGCCTGCAATATTATTTTTTTAATTTTTTTTTTTTTTTTTTTGCAGCTGGAGGAAGTTCTCCTGTCTGGTTTCTTGGGTGGCTGCACAAGCACTTTGGCTGGCATAAGGGAGGGGAGAAGGGAAGAGGATGGGGGTGGAAATAAGCAACTTTGCCATGCGTGCTCCTCCCCAGAGAATGTGGCTGATCCACAGAGCCTCCCCTCCACTCTCAGCTAGCGTGGGTTGATATTGCAAAGAAAATCACATACTTGTTCTTCGTCATGCCCCAGATGCTCCCCACCCTCCTTTCAAGGAACGCTGCTCTTTCCCCATCCATCTCTCGTATGTGTTAGCAGAAAGACTCTCAAATCAATCAACGTCCATTAGAACAGCCAGGTTTTGGAGGTCTCCCACTAGTCTTGTGTTTTAAAAAAAAAAAAAAAAAAAAGAGAGTTTGGGGGCTGTTGAGTCTAAAACTGGTGAGTGCTGCCACTCTTGTCACACAGTCCCTTTTAGAAGTTGGGTTGCATTTTCTGTGCCTTAATCTTTGGACCATTATGATGGCGCATTCTTGCATCATAATTAACAGTTACTGGAAAGATAGTCTAAAAAATGTAGTTCTTTGTAATCGCATTTAGTAACAAATAAATCTTAGTTATAACTGTGTCCATTGCAGCTATTACAATTCAAGTTAAATTAAACCCACTCCCCTCTCTTCCCACTTTTTTTTTTGGCTCTGAGCTTTGCTGTTAGTGACATAGACAAATAACTTCCAAGAGAAATTTGGTTATTTGAAGTTTTCTCATTCCAATATGTTTGGCCCCAGACACTTCAAGGGAGGCTGATACAGCCATTGCTACTTATACGCTTTGCAGAAAGACTCTTTGACTCTTCTTTGACTCTTTGAGGGAGAGGTCATTGGAAACCTAGTTTGATTGAAGTGCCTACAAGGACACAAGGGTTACTGCAAGTTTTGATTGATTTCTGTAGGTATTCTGAGGACATAGTGCAAGATTATAATTACCCTTTTTAATACCTCTCTGGAGAGAGTGTAAAAAAAAAAATAAAATGGCCCCAGCATAGCATTTAGCTGTACTAACAATAAGTAGTTTTAAAAAGGCACATTGTTATACATCATGTGGTCTTGTCTGAAATTTGTACACTGGTGATATTTGTGTGTCTACTAAATAAAATGATATATACTTCATTCCTGTCTGACCACTAGAAGATATTTTGGACTTGTTTTTGTACTTATGGCACATATAGGAACTCAAAAAACTTTGGCCAGACTTCATGGGCCGTTTGCTGGAAGCCTGTTTAAAAAGGACCTGCACAACATGCAGGCCTTTTAATTCCCAGGAGTGTCTGAACAAACACAGTGGACACCTACCCAGCATAAAGTACCTATTAATAAACTATTTATTTATAAACTGATCAACCATGGCATCGTTCTATAGACTATGCTAAGAAAAGTAAATTAAAACAGGTAATCTTCTATATTAACATCTGTGCATAACAGATATACTTACAGGGAGCTTTTAACATGCATATTCCCATCAGGAGAACAAGTCAACAGCAGCAGCAGATGGCTGCATTTTGGTTTAAATGCTTTTTACAGTAAAAAAAAAATTAAAAATGGAGGAAAAAGAGCAGGTGCTGAAGAGTAGCAATGAGTGCTCTCTTTCCACTCACCTCCGTTTCCCTGTAGGATTCAATCACTTCAGTGATAACAAGACCCAGGGATCTTAATTTTCTTTCAAAAGTGGGATCCATGAAGGTGGCTTTTTTGATTGTAGAATCAGCCACATGGCTCCTGATGGGCTTTTAGCCTCAGGCCAAACCCTAAGGATGAAGTGAGCTGAACCCTGGCCCTGCTTTCCTGCCTGACATTAGCTCGGTCCCTAAACACATCTCACTGCTGCAGCCCATACATCTGTAAGTTTTAAAAAAAAAAAAAAAAAAAAAAGCTGTTTGAGAGGAATGCAGAGAGAGGCTAAATTCATCAGCACTTTGAAATGAACTTGCAGTACTAAGCACTGGTATTTTCACTGTAAAATGAGGCCTTTTGCTGGGAAGCATCAATGCAACAGGATCGTCTACTGACAGACTTGTCAGCACTTTTAGTCGGGCTGGAGTACTAGAACATGCATTTGGCTAAACTAAACAGAATATGTTACTTACCATAAATTTTCTATGCTAGTGTAACTACAGAAATTGTCTTTCAAAAGCCGAACATGCCTACCTGATCTCCAGGTGGTACAGAGTAGCAGAGTTTCTCTAAAAATTGAGAGAATTACACTGATTTTTCTGCCTGAGGATTCCACCAAATAATAACAACATGTTTTTCTACACTGTGACTTGATCCTGGCTGCATACGTTTCCATTCCAGCGTCATTCATAGTTGCTTTTAACTTAAGCAAAAAGCAAGATTTAGTTTCCGCTAGGAGCAGGCATATCAAATTCAACTTAAAAAAAAAAAAAAAGTGTTGGGGAGGGGAAAGGAAGGGCATTTTGGCTGGGGAGAAAAGCGAGAAGAAGGGACTATAAACAGAGCAAAGTGGAAATTTCATCTGAGCTGTAAGTGTCGTTGCTGGGGCAGCACCAGCAGCTGGCAGGGACAAACTTTCTGGACCTCATCTCTTCAAGCCTTAGTTTTTCATCTCCCCAGTGGGCTGGGGAGAGATGGGGATGGCTGCCCCGGCTGCACAGCCCATGCCAGGAACCTCTTGGTACACTGGCTGCTGCATCCCCGCCGGCGTCCCACCCCGAAGTGAGCTCATGAGGCTCAGCTGGCCTCCGAGAAGGTAGCACGGACACGTCATGAACACAACTGTCACGGAAAGTCTTAAGAGGGACTCTTGTTCCACAGGGCTGCCCGGACAATGAAGAATTGGCGTGCCACCCCCTCTCTCGCCCCCCCAGCTGATGCCAAGGCGGACGGCTGGCCGCCGGCAGATGAATAGCAGGTCTGTTCCAGCAGCTGCGCATCCCGGTCCAGCCAGGAGAGAGTCTCCAGGAGCACAGAGTGCCCCGCTCCGCACGCTCTCTGCAGAGGAAGAGACCTGGGGGCAAAAGGATGGCCTCGGAAGGGGAGAGCATCAATCTTCAAGTGAGTCCATCTCGGGGAAATACCCGTGGGAAGGGGGAAACGGGAGGGAAGACCCCCGGGTTGGGGGAAATAAGCCACCACGCCAATCATTCGCTCCTCAGCTTTGGCAGCCAATTTTACTTGAAAACTCAGAGCTGCTTTTTCCCTCTGTTCTCCTTTGAAGAAAAGCTAGCGGCGGGATCTCTGCCCTGTTCTGCCAGGAGCTGTTATGAGCATTTTTCCAAAAGACTGAGGGTAAGAAGAGGGGTATTACTGAAAAGAGCTGCTTTTTTGGGGGAAGGAGAGGCAATAGGGGCAGAAGTTAGCCTTCAGCTCTCAGAAGGAGGCAGCATATACTTTACAAGCTACAAAAATTTGACCTATTCCTCATCTCACAAAGCCTTTCTCTGTTTGGCAGAAAGTGCTCCCAATCTGGAGAGAAGGAAAAGAAATAAATACAGCAAATGCTGAGGGAGCGCGGAGGCCAGGGTTTCCTATGTAGGGTTTACAGAGAAACAAAACTTCTTGGTGAAGCTCTTTCAGTTCTCTGTGTTCCTCTTCTGAGTGTTTGTGTTTTTTAAGAAGGGTGTTTCTTGTGCTCAGCGTGTGTTCTAGGAAAGGGCAACTACCCAAGGGTTTGGAAAAAGAAACTATTAGAGATGAAATGGATTCAAAACCCCAGATCACAAACACCCGTCAAACTTCAGAAGTTCAAATCCGGATCCACACTTCAGACAAGTCTGCAGAAGGGGAGAATATGAAGCATTGCCTGGGGCAGAGCTCCCAGCCCTGGGAGGGTCAGCAGCAGGGTACAAATTTTGCAGTTGATTTTTCTGTTTGTAATTGTCTTAACCATTCTCGGACTCAAAAGTGGGGAAGTCCATCTGGGGTCTCAATTTTTATTTCTTTGGCCCGTGTCAAAGAGGCTAAAATGGAAAGATCTGTGCCCTTGGAAATAATCAGGACAATTATCCCTAACTTGGGACTGAGTTAGGGACCGAGACTTTGATCCTGCAGAACATATCTCCACTGAGATATGAGGTGCAGAGCAGTTTTTTAAGACCTGGGAACAGTTATTCTTAGATAAGAGACAAAATAACTGAGGAAGATACACAGGTAGCTATGACAGTTGGTGAACATGTACTCTATTTAGGATTGAGGAAGAGAGAGGTTAGGCTTTCCTAGAACGAGATAATAAGGGGAAAAATATAGAAAGCACTAAGCCAGGAACTGGGGGTAAAGGGCAAAAAGCACATTAAAAATATTCTAGATAAAAAGTCAAATTAACTCCTTGTATATTAAATCATTCCACCCAATGGAAAGTCTCAGGTCTATTGTAGATTTGAAGCCCAGGTTTCAGAGATGAAAAAACCAGCTTCACTAATTGAAATGCTTATAAACTTCTGAAAAATCTGGGGTTTAGATTTTTCTCTTTCAACCCGTCTGGAAGTTAACTGACGAGCCAAAAGTGTTCCTCAGCATCTTCAGACTTTACAATACTCAAATAAATAAGTCCAGAAGGTCAGAGGTTCCTTGAATTACAAACCTGAAAAGAGTGTACCTGCCTGTTTCTAGAGCTGGAAGGCATGGAGTGTGTCTATCTACCTCTACACACATTGCCACAAGAAAAATCATGCTACTGAGATTTTCCTTGTGACACCTCACAGCAATTTCATGAAGCCACCAGACAGTACAAAATACAGGTGAATGCACACAGGTTCCTGCGTGCTTATGACCAGGAAATATTGCCAAAACAGTGCTGGCAGGGGAGGGAAAGAGCGTTACATACAACTACATGGCTGAGACAAGCAGCAGGTCCTGGCAATGACGTGACCTGGTAAGTGTGAGGTAAGGGAAGAAGTGATCAGTGGCGGAGAAAAAAAAAAGAAAAGAAGTCTTTCAGTTGAAAGTACATTTAAAAGGCTCTTTTAAGTCCCTACTCCGGGCACTGAACTCAGAGCAGGTGTCTTCTTGGAAGTTTCCAGCTGTGGGTTTATGAAGAGCTTGTGGGAATGTGCACTGCACACTCTGGGGTGGCAACGTATGACTCACTCCTCCTGAAGGAGCTCCTGGATGGAGTAGCAGGAACAGTCCTGAAAGTTCACTATCATACAATGCAGAAATAGGGTGGGTTTTTTTTATTTATATGGAGAAAGTCCTGTGCCTGAAGCAGCTGCACAGTACCTACTGTCATTTCTTATACAACATTTACATGGCCAGACTGGGTAGGTAATAAGAGAATGAAAATAATAAGAGCTTCTGGCCTAGCATAGGAGAGAAGCTAGAAGAGGCAATCAAGATTTAACAAGGCTCTGATGAGAACTGATCAGCCCCCAACCTTTTTGCTCATCCTAAAGCATGAGAATAGGAGCTCACTCAGCAAAATTTAAAGCCTCCATAACAGGAGACACTCTTTCACCCGGTGTGTCATCAGCCTGTGGAATTTGCCATCTCCTGGAGCAGGTCAGAAGGTCGAATATTGGAGCAAGCATTGAGAAGAGGTTGAGAGGTCCAGGAACAATATTTACAGTTATGCAAGCTAAAAAAGTTTGCAAAAAAAAAGCTTTCAAATCCCATAAGCCAATAGCAGGATAAAAATAAGTACCCTTTTCAGTTCCCTACAGGCAATGGCTGACCAGACTGAAAGTGGTATCTTGCATTAGAGAAGTTATAAACCAGCTGTCCATAAGTGAGACCTAGGACTGCTTTTTAACAGCAAGAAGTAGCTCCCATTAATCCACTTTCTCCCTTACAAAAATTCTCTTGTTCTGTCTGTTTCAAAGGAGTCTGTTTTCCAGTTCTGACTTCTAGGAAGACCAACAAAACCTCAAACTGTGCACAGAGAAATGCTAAAAGGAAATGGTGCTTAAATGGAAAAAGAAACCCCACAAGGCTGTAGAGCAGCCTCACCAGATCTATGCCAGCCAGCCAAGTGCTAAGAGCAAAGATAAAACTTGAATTAAGATATTTTCATTAAAAATATTGGTTTAGCTATTAGAAGATTAAACTTTAACATGAATTAATTTGAATGATGCATTTTTCTTCCCAGACATCTTTATTTGTGGCTTCCAAGTGAAATTTTCACCTTCCTTTATTAAGCATTGACAAGAAACCAGGTAGGCAGACCAGTAACCTGATGTGATATGACGGAGTACATCCTCAGATAGCTGGGATCAGAAAAACACGTTTGGGATAGAAACAAATCAAACAACCCAACAAGATCCCATCACCAATTTCTTTCTACTTCAGGAAACAGGGGTTTATAAGTTAGAATAGAAGTATGGCTTTGATAGTCACACTCTGGCTGATTTATCTGCACTTCTTTATGCTATTATTCTTCCCGGCTCTCGCCTCCAGCCCTTCCATAGAGATTTGCAGGGGAGAGAGGGGAGGAGGGAGCCACACAGGGCCGTTCTTTTCAGCAGCAAAAGACCCATTAAATCTGTTTAGCTGTGTACCTCAGCTGCTGCTGCAGTTCACGATCTGGCATCTAAACACAACCCTGTTTCATCGGTGATTTAAGCTAATGTACCAGACTTTGAATGGGAGCGACTGAGACAACATCCGTTCCACCACTCCCACCACAGCAGCAGTAACCAGGGGAAAGTCTGTGGACAGCTGAAATCAGGAACACTCACACATTATGGCCAGGGCTAAGTCTCTCAGAGCCCCAGATGAATATTGCAGAACGGAGCAAAGATTGGGGCTGATACTAAAAGGCTTCAGAGTTTTATTAGGTTTATATTTTTATATTTTCTTAATCGTGAATAGGTGTTGTGTTCTGTATAAATGGGTGTTTAAGGGACGTGTGTCGGATGAATGTCATCTGTATTCGTAGTGCAAAAGAGGCTATATATTGTGTGTGTTGCGTCTTTCTTTTTATAGTTTCTTACCCTTTGGATAAAAAAAAATTTACAATCCTCTGGGACGAGAAGCAGAAATAATACCTCACCATTTAGGGAATCATTCATACATCAAAAGTAAAAAGAGTAAACAGATAAAATAATCATTCTGGAAAACAGACCCTGCACTGAAATATTTTGGCAGAAGCTGCTTGGTGAATACTTTGAATGCAAAATACATCTGTGGAAATAAAGATAGGTTTACAAGCAACTTGCAAGGAAAAAAAGATTTTAAATAATTGGATAATGTACTTCCAGTGCTCGGTTTATGACCAGATCTACAGCAGGAAGATTTTAGACAGGCAGATAAATAGAGTCAGCTATTGGAGTGACAATGCGGACTTTTCCAAAATGCCCATGAAACAAGTGGAAAGTCCCACTCACCACTGTAAATCTCACCTCCCACATCCCACTTCCAGTCTAGGCCTGGTGAGGGGATCCAGGGAGTGTGTTCACAACTGGGTTAGACTTTTGGTTTTGTGATTTTTTTTTTGTGGCTTTAACGTGTGCCTTGAGGCCGTGATGTGCTTACAAGCTTTTGGCGTGAGCACGCGTTTGCCTGCTTCTGCAGCAAGTCAGCTTGTGATTTCTACTGCCGTAGGACCTTTAGTCTCCTTCAGCTCTGTCCCAGAATGGTGGCAATCTAACATCACCAACTGAGAAGTGCACCTGCCCCACTGGACTTCAGCAGTATTATTTGGGTTCTGTAATTAAGGCTTGCATAATGAGAGTCTGCATTGAAAGAGAGGAAGAGCCTTTCAGAAAGAATATTGCAAGTGTTTCAGAAAGAGTGATTCCTGTGACACCCCTGTATGGTGTGTGCTACTCAGCCATCAGAGTTTGAGGAACTTACCTCACTGTGTTTTTAACTAAACTAACCCAATTACCACAGCCCCTCCAACAGGAGCCCACTCCCCACTCACAGGGGTGCACTTCACCGCCTGTGCCATTCATTTGACCCTGGTTCAGAGAACTAAACTCAGAGAAAACTAACCAATTTTTGGCAGGGTTAGCGTTCTGATTTGCTGTCCTGCAATGGCTCCCAGAAGGATCAGCCAACTGCCAATGACTTTGACTGTGTGGCCACGAGACAGTGTAGAGGCAGCAGGATTTCTCCTT